TTACCCCGCCCCTTGGACGGAACCAAGAGGGGAGGGGTGTTCCGTACTAGCAGGCTTGTAGGCCTGCGTTCCTATTGGTCCGGAAAAGCCGGGACGTGATTGGACAGTTTTAGCTATCCTGATTGGTTCGTATACGGGCTGCCGCGATTGGGTAAAACCAAGCGCGGCAAGCTCAAAAGCATGTCATAGGCTGCCTAGCTGCAGCCAGTTCTATAAAAAGGGCTGCTGCGGCTAGGAGCCTTGTCTCAGTATCTGATCTCCTAATAAAGAGCTGTTGTTACTACTTCGAGTCTCGCCTCTCCTTGGGACCCACCGCCCAGACTTAACACCTACCCTTCATCCTATGCATCCTTTTACTCTTTTTCTCCCATCATTTTGATCATAAAACATTTTTCAAGAGCCATGGTGCTTAGAATGCAATATTGCAGGCTAACTCTGCCTTACTGTTGGGAGTTTGATCCTAACCAGCTCAGGGTTGACTCAGCCTTCCATCATTCTGAGGTTGGTAAAATGAGGACCCTGATCAGTGGTGGAATTCAAATTTTTTACTACTGGTTCTGTGGGCATTGCTTAGTGGGCATGACAGGGGAAGGAAGCTGTAAAATCTCCAGTCAAAGGTGGTATTTGCCGGTTGTTCGAACTACTTAAAATTTCCACTACCGGTTCTCCAGAACTGGTCAGAACCTGCTGAATACCACCTCTGACCCAGACTGTTGGGGGAAATATGCTGATTCTGTAAATCACTTATAGAGTGCTATAAAACACTATGAAGTGGCATATAAGTCTAAGTGCTATTGCTATTTCATGCAGCATAGAAGCCTGTTAGTTGGTAGAAGGAAAAACTGTCAAGTAATCATGTTATTATTGTTATATCTGAGGTGGATCGGGTCGAGTGAGACGCGAGACCATTCTGTGATTTCAGCTCTTTATTTGCGATAAGAACAGTCTGAGGAATACAAGCCGCGGCAGCCCTTCATATAGGGCTGGCTCGCGGCTCGACGGCCAATGGCAGCGCTTTGAATCTCCCGCGATCGGCACAGCCAATCGCGGTAGCTTCTTAGCGCTCCAATCACGGCCGGGGTGTCGACCAATCAGGTCGTTGTCCGTCGGGACCAATCGGTTTCGAGGGTTTGGAGTATGCTAATACAGCACACCCCTCCTCTCTTGGTTTCGTCTGTCGGTGCGTCGTGACGTAGTCGCGCAGGTAGGCGGGTCTCCGTACCTGTCTAGTTGACTTGCGCAGATCAGTTCTTGTTTGGTTTTTGACCGGTTCGGAGGCCTTCTCTGTTGCTCTGCTTCCCAGGGATGGAACCGCCTGGAAGGTCGGGCTGGGCCTTTCTTGGTAGCTCCCTCCCGGTCTACCCGGGCTGGTTGAGCTGCCGTCTTGGCTGTTCCTGCGGGAGCTTTCCGGGCTGGTTGTGCTGGCCCGGCTGCTCCTTCCTGGTGACGTTCCTGGGGTTGCTTATTCGTTGGGACCCTCGTTTGCTGGTGAGTAGGACTGGTTTATTTGTGGGTTTTTTGTTCCGGGTGGGGTTTGTTCGGCTTGCGCTAGGGGATTCCCTTTTTCTTTAACGCTTTCCGTTTCCCCCCCCCTTCTAGTTTTTTGGACGGTTGTATGGTTGTTAGCTATTCTGGACCTTAGCTGGTTAATGTGCCGTTTCCAGTGTTTCCCGTCGGTTGTTTCTAGCCGGTATGATATGGGCCCGGTTATTTGGGTGATCGTTGCTGGTATCCATAGTGGTTCCCCCGACAGGTTTTTTGCGTATACGGCATCCCCTATGTTAAATTGTCTGTGTTTGCTGGAGGAGCCCGGGGGTTTGTCGGGGGTGTATGTGGGGTGCCTTCTATCTAGCGTTGATCGTAGTTTCCTGCCCATCATTAGTTCTGCCGGGCTTCTGTTTGTGGTGGCGCTCGGCGTGATGTGTTGGATGAAGAGCAGTTTATTGATTTTGTCCTGTATATTGGTTGTTTCTATTTTCTGAATGGCCTTTTTTGTGTATTGTACCATGCATTCCGCTCATCCGTTCGCCGCCGGGTTTGCCGGCACGGTTAGTGCATGGCGTATGCCCAGGCCTGCCAGAAATTGTTCAAACGCTAGTGCGGTGAACTGGGGCCCGTTGTCCGACACTATTACGTCCGTCAGGCCGTGTGTGGCAAAGAGTTTGCCCAGTTTTCTTATTACTGCTTCTGTCGTGGTTGATTTCATGGTGCTTACCTCCAACCAGTTGGAGTAAGCATCCACTGTGATGAGATACATATGCCCTTTGGTTGGCCCCGCGAAGTCTATGTGAATCCGAGACCACGGTCCTCTTGGTGTTTCCCATTCATGTATTGGGGCGGCGGGAGGACTGGGTCTGGACTCTTGGCATTGATTGCATTTGGCTACCCAGGTTTCAATCTGTTTGTCCATGCCTGGCCACCATACGTAGCTTCTGGCCAGGCTTTTCATCTTGACCATCCCTGGTTACCCTCATGCAGCATTCCCAATACCCTTTCTTGTAATGCCTCTGGGATTACCACTCTGTCTCCCCAAAGTATACAGCCCCTTTCGGTAAAAAGTTCGGTTTGTCTGTTTCTGAAGGGTCTGAATAATTCGTCCTTGTCCCCTTCCGGCCATCCTTTTCCAACCCAGCTTAGGACTCGCGCCAGCCGCTTGTCTTTATTTGTTTCTCTGGCAATGTCTGGCGCGGTCACTAGTGGGTTGGGCATTGTCTCTATTTGGAATACCTCCGTCGTGGGAGCCGGGTCGTCTTCGAGGTCGGGCAAGGGTGAACGGCTCAGGGCGTCTGCGTGGGTGATGTCCTTCCCGGGTCGGTGAATCAGCTGGTAGTTGTATGCTGACAGGAACTCAGACCACCTTGTCATTCTTGGTGATAGAATGTTCGGTGTGGCCTTATTTCCTGCCAGGATCCCTAGCAACGGCTTGTGGTCCGTAATGATTGTAAAAGTCCTACCGTAAAGGTATTCGTGGAATTTCTTGACGCCGGCGACGACTGCTAGGGCCTCCTTGTCGAGCTGGCTGTAGTTCCGCTCCGGTTTTGAAAGTGTCCTTGATGAGAAGGCGATGGGTGCTTCCCTCCCGTCTGGCGCCGATTCCAAAAGGCGATGCGTCGCACGTTACCGTTAATGGCAGAGTCTCACTGTACTGGATTAGTACCGCGTCAGATGTTAGCAGTTTCTTTGTGTTGTTGAAAGCGCTCTCCTCCTGTGCTCCCCAGGTCCAGGTGGCTGTTTTATCTAACAGCCTATGCAACGGTTCCGCCACGGTCGCCTTTTGGGGTAGGAAGACATTGTAAAAGTTTAACAGTCCCAAGAAAGCCTGCAGTTCCGTTTTGCTTTTGAGTCGTGGCGCTTCCCTTATGGCTCTCAGTTTCTTTTCTGTGGGGTGGATGCCATGTTTGTCTAGGAGGTACCCTAGGAACTCGACCCTTTCAGCCCTTAGCTGGCACTTCCCTTTTTTGACTTTGAGTCCCGAGTCTCTGAATTTCTTCAGTACCTCCCTCAACCGGGTTTCTAGTTGCTTTTCGTTTTTCGCGGCCACCAGGACGTCGTCAAAGTAGGGCACCACCCCCTCTATGCCCTGGAGGAGTCTTTCCATGAGGCTTTGGAAGACCCCGGGTGCCACGCTGACTCCGAACTGGAGCCAGTTGCAACAAAAAGCCCCCCGGTGCGTTACGATGGTCTGGGCTTCGGCGGTTGCGGCGTCGACCGGCAGTTGCTGATAGGCTTGTGCCAGGTCGAGCTTTGCGAAGACCCGGCCTCCCCCCAGTGAGTGCAGAAGGTGTTGCACAACTGGGACGGGGTATGCGCTTTGTTGGAGCATGTGGTTGAGGGTGGCCTTATAGTCCCCACAAATCCTCACGGACCCATCTGGCTTGATGGGGGTGACTATTGGGGTCTCCCACCTGGCATGGTCGATTGGTTCCAGTACCGCTTGTGCGATGAGCTTATCTAGCTGCTCATCGATTTTGGGCTTGAGGGCAAATGGCACCCGTCTGGGCTTAAGGCAGATCGGTGCGATGGTCGGGTCAATATTGAAAGATATAGGGGACCCCCGGTACTTGCCTAGACTGTCATCAAAAACCTCCCGGAAGTCCTCCACGAGCGCCGCTTCCCAGTCCGACTCTGCGGTGTGGTGGATTCCGGTTACTTCAATGCCTAGCGGCGCGAACCACTGTAGTCCCAATAGGCTCGGCCGATCCCGGTCGACGATGGTCAGGGGTAGTACTTCGGTGTGGTTCTTGAATGTGACTTTAAAATGGCCTCTGCCAACTACAGGGATGCAGTTCCCCTGGTAGTCTTTGAGGGTTAGTGCTTGATCTTCTAATTCCTTTCGGCGGATTGAGGGGACCAGGCGCTTGATGGTGTGCCATGAGACCATGGAGAGGGAGGACCCGGAGTCCACCTCCATGTCGCATGGCTGGTCTTCTATTCCCACCGTGACGTATACTTTCCTGGCGTCTCTTGTTGAGGAATGGCCGATGATGACGGTCTGGTGCGTTTCCTCCCTTTGCCTTGCTTCGTTGAGCCGCCTGTTCTGACCTTCTTGGCTCCAACGGCTCTCCGACTGTCGGTCTCTGTGGCTGTTGGGGGTGTTCTCTTGTCTGTGCGGGCTGCCATCTCGACGCCGCGGGCTGTAGCGTCTTCTATTTCTGCACACTTTGGCGATGTGTCCTCGTTTATCGCACTGCCGGCAAACGGCATCTAAGAACCGGCAGTCCGATCGGGGGTGATCGCCTCTGCAGCCGGCGCACTGGAACCTCGACTTGCGACCTTGGTTTTCCCGTCGCCCTCGGGCCGCTTGCAGCCGGTGGATCTCCTCTTCCTCGTCCTCGGTTCCCGAGAAGGAGTCTATGTCACCGTGGTGTGTGGTTGCGTCCCGGGGGTTGCTCTCGGGTCGCTTTTTGGTGTTTGGTGCCGTCTCGCTGGTCGCTGCTCGGGGCGTGATGCTCGATTGTCGCATCCAAGCCGCCGATTTCTTGGCTGCTTCTGCCGCGGATATGTCGGTGAGGGCGTCGGCGAGGGAGATGTCACCCTTTGCCATGATGCGGCTCTGGAGGATAGGGTCTCGGAGCCCCAGGACGACGCGGTCTCACAGGGCCTCATCCAGGTCGGCGAACTCGCATAGGCCGCCCAAATCTCGTAGGGCCGCTATGAAGTCGCCAAGCCCTTCGCCATCGCGCTGGTCCCGCCTGTAGAATTCGTGCCGACGGATGAGGATGGGCACGACGGGGGCGTAGTGGCTTCTCAGTAGGGGTTCGAGATCACTCCATTCCATGGTTTTAACGTCCTCGGGCTTGGCCAAGGCTTTGGCCATCTTAAATACGGTCGGTCCGCAGTGTGCGAGGAAGACGGCCCGCTTCTTGTGACCGTTGGCATCTTTAAGATTGCTACACTCGAGGAACATCTGGAACCTATCGGTATAGGATTCCCAGTCCTCGGTAGCGGGATTGAAGGGTGCGGGTGGCGAGTTGACGCCGGCCATGCTGCTTGCCGCTGTATGCCGCTCCGCCACGTGCTGGTGGTCTCTTTGTCTCACGATCCCACCTTCGTCGCCAGTGTTATATCTGAGGTGGATCGGGTCGAGTGAGACGCGAGACCATTCTGTGATTTCAGCTCTTTATTTGCGATAAGAACAGTCTGAGGAATACAAGCCGCGGCAGCCCTTCATATAGGGCTGGCTCGCGGCTCGACGGCCAATGGCAGCGCTTTGAATCTCCCGTGATCGGCACAGCCAATCGCAGTAGCTTCTTAGCGCTCCAATCACGGCCGGGGTGTCGACCAATCAGGTCGTTGTCCGTCGGGACCAATCGGTTTCGAGGGTTTGGAGTATGCTAATACAGCACAATTATTATTCTGTTGCACTTTTAAAAATAGCAATAGAAACATACATTATTAGAAGAGTGGGAAAGATGCTAAATTGAAGCCAGGAGCTGGGAAGTGGAATCAATCAAAAGCTCTTGCCAACTGAAAAATTGACTTGCCACATAGCTTCAGCCTTGAAAAAGAACTACTTTTGCTTTGATTTCAGATATGTCACAGCAGATTCAGGGAAAAAACTCTTCATTCTCAAGTCTAGCTCATGTTTTTATAATAGCACAGATCTAGAACTAATTCTGAATTATCATAAAGTGCTCATGAAGAGGTACATAAGAGTTCAGTCAATGATTTCGTATATAGGTTATCTCAAGACTGGATTATTGTTAACAAGGTATATAAGGGTCTGCTCTTGAAATGATTTCAGAAGAGGCAGACTGTTCAAGGCAATTCCATTATTTATATTGAACACTTGGGCTAGTGGCTCTGTACCTGCTGCTTAATTTTTTTTTGAATATCTTCAGGACATTATTATTGTCTTACAAGACAGCTTGGAAATAGGGACACAAAAAAACTTCCTCCTAGTTTAACCTCAATGTGTGGCTGATGATATTCTTTGGCAGTGAACTCTATGGCGATCTCAGTGAAATAGTTTTCTCCCCCAGTTGATATCAGGATATCCCCATGCTCTACAACCTTTTTGTAGTTTTAATATTGCCAGCTGCCTCAAGTTACTGTACTAGTTAATGTTTTATTATTTTAGTTTTGTATTAGTATTTATAATTTTGTTTTAAAACTGCTTTAAGACAGATGAAAATCAGTAGCTAAAGTCTTTTAATGCCAGTCACCCAAGCAGCCATTTGTGTATTGATTTGGACAAAACTGTCCTAGATTTTCAGAATTGACTCAGTATTTCCTTTCTAGTTGACAGAATCATTAGGAAAATTGATCTACAAAGCTCTGGATTGGGGAATCGAGAGTTATATGGAGAGAGAGCTGAGTGAGTCTCTGGCAAAGCTAATAACATTAATGCTCAAACTGAACGCAGAAACCTCCAACACCACAGTTGCTTTACAGGATGTAATCAAGGTCTTGTATGTTTCACATAATTTATACCTTTAGCCATTTGCTCTAAGTGTCCTTTGGATGAGTAGAACAATGTTACACATTCAGTATAAAGTATGTTTAAGGAAAAACAGACAAGGAATGAATATCTATGTAAGAAAAATTCCTTCCTTCCCTTCCTTCTTCCTCCCTTAAATATGCTAATCTCCTTTGAATGCATTCAGTTTAAAGTGCAGCTTGGTCACTTAATTAATTGTTCGTTTAACTTTAGCAATTAGTTTAAATAATTAATGGAAAACACTGTTGTAATACTTTTAAATAGTTATTATAGAAGTTCACATTGAAGTATGTACATTTATAATGTAATTAAATACATAAAGGCAATTAATTTTATAAGTCCATTTTAATCCACAATGTTTGGGAAAATAAAAATAAAACACAAAACTGTGCCAATACTAAATCTCATAGAATATTGATTGTTTAGATTTGCTTCACTTGTTTTGTTCACATCCTCTGCATTCAGTGTAGATCTGCTAATCTGGAGTTTTGTTATTTTTAGTGTAGTTCTTGAATAAAGAAGTGTGTGTGTGTGTGTGTGTGTGTGTGTGTGTCTGTCTTTGGCCCAGAATTCCTACTGATTTGATAGTCTACTACATCTGCAGAGCAGCAAGTTGGAGATGTAGAGTCCTTGGTGCTTGCTGACCTTGGCTGGTTGCTTGTACATGTTTCATTACCTGATCAGGTAACATCCATGATGATAATGAGCATTTATTTTGCTTTCGGTTTATAAATAGCTTACCCTGATCAATAGACTTATAGTGATAAAGAGCATTTATATTCCATTCAAAAAAGACAACAAAAAAGCTAAGAAAGAAACAAAAAGACTAGAACACATCCTCTGCAGCAAACATTACTCATATAAGAATAGATTAAAAACAGAAAAAAATAATCAAGCAGAAAAAAAAACCTAATCAAGGAATTATCAAAGAGAAAGCTGTACTCCAACAGCACTGACAGGGCAAGCTACTATATATAAACAGGGAGCAAACTCCAAACTCCCTAGCATTGATGAAGTAACCTAGCTGGGTAATAATTTCTACCTGTGCTACATATATTCTCTTCTGTTGGAAACTGAAGATGGTTGCTTTTTAAATTGTCGTCTTATGTCATGCAAGTTATTGCTAACATGCTAAACCAATGTAAAATGGATCTGTGGTCCAATTTTATGTTTTCCTATGAAACTACAGTAATTATTCAACAACAAGTATTTAGTGATTTCGCCTTCTATTTAGGAAATATCTAAGATACACCATATAAGTTGCATTTATTAAAATTTAGTTTTATGTAAAATCATATTTATCACTTGATCTGACCCTTTATTTATTTGATTTGATTCTGCCTATGTTTTAGAGGACTTTCCCAGTGCACTATCCAAGGCAAGAGTGCCTCTTGATATGAATTCAGTTTCTTTATTTGCTCTTTTTATGCTAGTTTTGAAAGCCAACAGACAAGATAGTCCGATGGTTTGCAGTGTCTAATATCTTATTTTCTTCTAGAATATATTGGCTAATATGTTCACTTTTATTTTTACTGTATCTCTTATAGAATTTTATTAAAGTGAAAGTTATATTATAAGTAAGTCTCAAACAGGTTTATATGCTGAGTAACATTCAAAAGCTGCTATGCTCCATAGTTGCCAAAATGCATTTCTAACTTCTAATGCTTTCTAATCTATTATTAAAAGCTGTTCCCTGAGTAGAAAGAAGTTCAGAGGAAATGGAGCAGGATTTGCATATCAGGTTTATCAATTCAGTAGTTAGTTTAATCAATTTAATTGAATATGTGTCCAGAACTGATTACTGTTTGTCCATTTTAGATCTGTGAGGATCACTTTCACAAACCATCGGAAGCTGCCAGTCATTATACAACCATCTGCCAAATGCTGTTCTCTGAGTACATTGAGCTTCAGAAACTTACGTTAACCATACAGAGTTGCAAAGAGGTATTTGGGGGATGCGAGAACATAGTAGCTAAATCTTTCTTTGTCACTACTTCAGTATCTTTATCACATCATAATTGTTCTTTTGAAATTGGAGGAAAAATGTGCTGAAGTTTGGAAAGGAAATTGAAGGGTTATGCTGAGCAAACAAATAATTCTTTTTAATGTATTTCAGTATTTGGGAAGAATGGATGTGGAAGACTGTTCTGCCAGACAGAAGACAAACAATTCGGTAGGAACAATCTACTTTGTTATTTTCAATATCAGGTTTCTTTTTAAAAAAATAGTAATTGTATTAAAAATTACAATTCAAAAGGTAAAAATTAATATGAATTGAAATGAATAAAAAATTGCAGATATGAAAAATAGAAAGAAGAAAAAAGTATATAGTAAAGAAAAAGAAAAGAAATATAACTTTGTCACAAGTATAATTTTTTTAAATAATTTATCACTTTATAAAATACAACAAATAACCCATCTACTATCAAAAAACAAATCCATAAAACCTCATTGTTCAGCTCTGATCACCAAAAGTTGATTAACAGATAGCAACACATATGTTTTATCCTTGATCAAATAAACCAATTTTTTATTCCTTCCTTTTACTTTTAACTATCTTGATCCCTTAGCATATTATAGCAGTGGAAATTTGGAATGTTATAAGCTGGTCTGTACAACAACAACATTTTTTAAAATAATGCACAAGTGATATTTTAGCAATCATACAATATGATACACCTGCAGGCTAATATGAAGCCTTCAGACTGGCCTTCCCCATTTCAAGATGGTTTGTGGTAGGATGTATTTGGTTATTTACAGAAAAGCATGAGACTACAGAAGGTTATGGGGCAAACTCTGCACAGCATTCCTCCAGGAGAAGGTATCCTTTCATCCTACAGTATGGTGGTAGATGATATCAAAAACAAACGCTACAGCCTCCATGCAGTAAGTATTGGGTCATATCAGATTTAGCTTTTATTGTGTATATGTGAGACATATATGTGAGACTCTCTCATTTGTGAGACATTTTCTATCACTATGATGAGGATTGACGAGGCTCCAGGCAGGTTGATCCCTGGGACTATCACCCCGTGTGCAAGTCTTTCCATCTTCAATTTTACTAACTTATTTGGCTGACTATGTTCTCTCTCTGTCTACTTTTCCTTTCATGTGAGAGAGTGATTTTCTTTCCTTTTTAAAGAAATCAATGGGTTTGGCAATCTTTTGGGCTGCAAGGCCCTAGATTCCTGCCATCTTTCATTTATAACTCACTGTATTTGCTAGGTTTCAGTATGGAAATTGAAAGAGAAGACCAGTCAAGAGTTCAGCCTGCATGAGAAGCTTATGATGGAAGTGAAAAATCCACCTAAACTTCAACCAATCTTTGAACAGAAAAGTAGCAACAATTATAAGGGTATGTTCAAGACATTATTGATAATGTAGATGTCTTGGAATTTTTACTGTGTACTGTACAAATTTGAAGGAATAAAAAAATCAGTTTTCTTTAAAGGTAGATTTGGTTGTAATGACACGACTTTTCTGTCATTTAGCATGGGTTACTAGGTTAGAGCTTCAGGGACTTTCAGCAGACTTAAGCTGTTGAACTTTGTTTCCAGTCAGTGCATAAACTTAAAAAATCTCTTTCTTTGGTTTAGCCATAGTCATATTTATGATTATTCTGATTGATGGACACCTCTTTTCTTACCATCCTGGGAAATAGCACCATTTCAATATTTTTCTTCTCACTTGGGCTAAAAGGAGAAAGTGGCAGTATTCCAGTCATTTTCAGCTGTTCCTTTGTTTTTGTTTTTAAAAAGCAAAGACAATTCCCTCCTCTGTTAATAAACTTATTTTTAAGATCTACATTGTAATTGTTACCCCAGTAAATGTGTAAAAAAATCTATCATTTTGCTTTTTCATCAATAAACTTTTATTTTATAATCAAAATTATGGGCAGAAATCCCAGCATATCCCATGCGTATTCAATGGAACATTTCTATGTTTTTCTCTATCTTTCTACTCTTGGCTAAAACCTTTGTTTTCAAGATATATTATAGCTAGCATATGCAAATATTGTTGATGAAGGTTCTAATATAATGATCTGGTATAAAACAAGGATGATGCTTGCTAAATCCTCACATGAATTTGGTCTATATAAACAAATGCCTTAAAATGGAATCAGATTTTAAAAGAAGCTTGTAGAACTTTTAATCCAATACCCTGTTCAATGCAAAAATCCAACATAAAATATTTCCAATAGATGACTGTACAGCCTCTGTTGAAACACATACAGTGAAAAGAAATTTGGTAATTGGTACCATATTCAAATTGCTTTCCTATGTTCAACCAGGATATATAATTAAATTGATATGCTTTAGGACCTTAATTCTATGTTCTGGACTCTGGAATAATAGAGATTAGGTCATGGTTGTCTTCTGCATAACACCCCTTCAGGAATTATTGCTGTTATTACCAGGCTATATTTATGTTATACTTGTACATTTTATTGCTTTTTGTTAACCTATTTGGATTATTATGTCTTAATCCATATGGAATCCTGGAAGAAGCATAAGAGGTTCTTAAATAACAGAAATGAAATGAAATATTTGAACCAGACATATTGTACATCATTACTTCATATATTCTCTGCTGTATGTAATGAGAACTAACTGCAAGTATTTTATCATGTCTGAAGAAAGTCAAAATGGTTTAAAATTTCTATTTACATTTTTGATTCTGTGTTGTTGTTTTTCTACAGGAGATACTCAGAAGTTCGTCTTGAATTCTCCATGTAATAGTATCATCTCTGAACAAAACATCAGCATTAACTTCTCAAAAGCTAAAAAAACACAACTGAGCTGCACTCACTCAGATTTGGAACTAAAAACAAAGCTAGGAAAATTATGTGAGGATGGTGGATCAGAAACAAAGGCAAGAACAAATGTCACTTATCTGTTATTTTTCAACATGCATTCATTGATCTAAATCTTCATATTGAAAGGGTGGACAAACATCTAGTGGTTTTGGGGAATTATTGCTGCTGCTGCTCCTCTTTTTTGGATTTGGCTCTGAAGCGACACAAAACGCTACAATGCATTGTATCTTCCCTATGTGCACATAATTAAACATGTGCAGTCCTTGGAATTTAAATCTAAATAGAATATATTAGCATACAATTACCTTAACAGTTATTCATTTAGTATATTATAAAATAGATAGCCAATATGGTCTAGTGGTTATGGTCGGAAACCAAAAGACTGTGAGCCTTAGCCATGAAAGCCAGTTGGGTGTCTTTCGGCCAGTCATTCTCTCTCAGCTCAGTCCACCTCACAGGGTTGTTGTGAAAAATAGGAGGAGGAAGAAATATTAGAAGAACTGTGGTGGCACAGTAGTTAGAATGCAATATTGCAGGCTAACTCTGCCCATTGTCAGGAGTTAGATCCTGACTGGGTCAAGGTTAACTCAGCCTTCCATTTTTCCAAGGTCAGTAAAATGAGGACCCAAATTCTTGGGGGCAATATGCTGACTCTATAAGCCGTGTAGAGACTGCTGTGAAGCACTGTGAAGTGGTATATAACTCTTAAGTGATGAGCCATGGTGGCACAGTGGTTAGAGTGCAGCACTGAAAGCTACTTCTGCTGATTGCTGGCTGCCTGCAATTTGGCAGTTCAAATCTCACCATGCTCAAGCTTGACTCAGGTTTCCATCCTTCTGAGGTGGGTAAAATGAGGACCCAGATTGTTGGAGGCAATATGCTGATTCTGTAAACTGCTAGAGGGAGCTGTAAAGCACTGTGAAGCAGTATATAAGTCTAAGTGCTATTGCTATTAGGTATGTTCGCTGTCTTGATTTATAAAAACTAATAAAGGCAGGATATAAATAAATACATAAAATTTTCTCTATTTGGAAATAAATATAAAAGTTATATAACTTCCTGAGTTTATAAAATATGACTGTAGCTGGTCTGCAGTGGTTTGTATGAATTTCCTACTTTTTGAGCTATTCATGTCAAACTAAAAACTCTTCATTAACTATTAAGTTTAACTCTAAATTCCAGAGGATTTGGTTTTATTACAAATTTATCATGAAGAGTAATTTCTGAGTGTCTTCATTTGATTTATAGTTGTCACCTACTTACAATCAGATATGTTCAAGATGGTCATTACCAAGCATTGTAAATTTGATGGGAACAAGATATTTAGAAGTAAAAGGCTCCTGCCAAAGAGAAACAAGCAATCTTTCTTCAAGGGCTGAGGTAATTTCCTAATAAGAGGATTGGTTGGTTGGTTGCTTTGTTAATATTTATTAAAAACAGAGATGAGTATTCATATAGCTAAATGTTTATAATTAAGCTTGTTTTTGCAACACTGGCCTATCTAGTTAACTTTGTTCTCCTAAACTAATCCTTCTGCCAATAGATTAGGGTTGAACAATGTGTGGATTATAGGCTGTCTCCACCTCTCCTTTTTGTAGAACCCTGAAGCTTCTTTCCTATGATTGCTTACCATTTACTTCCCCCTGATAACAAGTAGATAAGTTTAATGTGCCCCATTTTATAAAAAAAAACAACATCCACCATCTCAGAAGAGAGGAAAATGAGATAAAAAGTTCATTCCCTTATTATCATATTTTGCTTTTAGGAACTCCTATTAATGTTTTTATATTGCATACAGGGTTTTCACTCAGATTAAGCATACAAAATAATGTCAGTATACCTGACTGAAATATTTTGAAGAAGGAAATTAGTCTAGCATAGGAGGGTTTGTTTGTATTTTTCCTCATTTTACATTTGTGTGTAGAGAAAGCTTCCATAATGCAAAGCTATTCTTAGTCTTTTCACTGATTAGAAGGGATGGTTTATATAGCTATAAATTGACTGCAGAAACTGTAGCCCATATTTTAATCTCCAAACATTCTTCATTCTTTGTGTGAGTGTTATTACTTGCATTGATTTTTATCATATTATAAAAAGAAATTGGAACATTTGTCACAACTTTCCATCTACAGCTTTGTTTTGTTTGTCACAACCAATTCTTTATATGGCCCTATGTATGTCATCTCTGCACTAGGTAAGTAAACAGAGACTTTTTATAATTTTTATAATTTATAATTAAATTACTGTGCAAGAGAAAAACACTCCTTTTTTACCTATAATTTGTATGGTTAAGTTTTTTGGGGGGAAAGTCAAATGCCTATGTTATCTTGGGTAGTAGCTTTTAAATGTATTTCTTCTCATGTCTTTCATTATTATTTACTAGGGCTCTTAAATGCTTTGGATTTGAGGGATTTGAAGTACTGCAGAATGTGCAGTGGTGCAAAAGCAACCCATGCTTCCAACTCATTAAAGTAGCTATGTCATTTTCTAGGATTGCAAGGCTGCTGAAAAGAAGCTTCCAATCTTGGCAAATGAGCTACTATATAAACAGGTGCTATATTTATGTTCCCATACATTCTGCTACTCCTGTATCTGAAACAGGATACAGCTCTATCATTTATTAGGGGTATGCAAAGCATTTAAAATAACTGGGGAAAACTTTACAACACTTGCCTGAGCTTTTCAAAGGATATGACAGTTTTAATCTTTCAAGAAAGAGTGTCTCCCCTGCAATAATACATTTTAAGAAGCACCCTTTCAAATTCTTTGTGTCGCCCTACTATATATTGATACGTTTGCTTTGCTGTTTTAAATGTTCAATTTTCTAATTCACTTAGATTTATTTATTTTGTGTATGGCATTTTATACACTGACTAGCAATATATATTAATATTTCATCTAGATTATTAAAACACAATAAAGTATAAATGTTCAAAATGTCTAGGTTCAAATACCAATATTTAGGCCATCTAACTATTGAAGCATCATTTATATTAAAGAAATCAGATACTGGACCAGTATATGCCCTCAATTTACAGCTGGTCATGATATGATCTAGTTTGACATTGGACCTTGCAGTCATACTGAGGGGAGGATACTACAACCCATTCATACAGAGAGTCCCAGCAGACACCGTGTGAGGTGTGAATCCTATTCAGGATTGTCCATTGCTGATGTGGTAGTTCAAAGCTTAGCATTTTTGTGCGGGGTAACTTATAATGTTTCCCTATATTTGGGCATTCAGCATTGTCTGCAATGGGGAATCAAAGTTGTTGGGCACATGTTGTGCAAATACCAGTGGGGGGTTTTCTGGATTTGAATCTTCCGGCTGATAAATGAGGAAAGTAGAAATGTAGGAGTGAGTTGTTCATAGTTCACCTAGAAAACTCTATTAGAAGAATGAAAAGATATTAGACAGAGATCATATTCTGTGAATTGATTCAGGACTGTCAGCTTGCCAGCAACACAGAATTAGTGGTGAAACATATTATTTCTTCTTTTAGACCAGGGGTGTCAAACTCAAGGCCTGCAGGCCAAATCCGGCCCACGGAATGCTTAAATCTGGCCTGTGGGGCCAGGCTAAAAATAGCAAAAGGACCAGCCCATGGTGCCTCTGGCAGGCAAAATGGGACACGGGGGGTGTGCGCACCCTATTTTCAGCCTGGAAGGCCTCCTGCAGCACACTGCCAGCCAAAACAGTTGGCTCATTTTGGCCGGCAAAGTGTGGCATGAGGCTGTTCAGGTTGAAAACAGGGCTCAGGGAGGCCTCACATGCCCCCCCAAGCCCCGTTTTGGCTGGCAGTATGCTGTAGGAGGCCGTCCAGGCTGAAAATGGGGCATGAGGGGAGGCTTACACGCCCCCCTTGTCCTGTTTTAGCTGGCAGGGTGCTACAGGAGCCGTCCGTCTTGTCTCCCCTCTACTCCCCAGCAGGTCCATGGAGGAAAACTACAATGCTGATCCGGTCCTCAAAGAAATCCAGTTTAACACCCCTGCCTTAGACACTCTTCTAAATATGCAGTAGAGTTCAGGAAGCCTCTCTGAAATGGATTTGAGAAATGAGGGGGGGGGGAAACAAACTTCCATTACTGTAATGGAAAATAACAAAGGCAACTTTAAGATGTGTGGTCATCCAAAAGTCTTATCAATGGTGTTTCCATCCCAAATCTGAGCCTGAAACCTAACTAGAAAAGGTCTAGATAATTTGCCTTATTCACAATCCTCTGGAGGTGCAATGTAACCACTTTCTCAACCACCATCCCTAAAAAGGAAGATGAGAGGCTGCACTAAAGTTATCCAGAGCAGTAGGGTCCAGCAAGAGCTTCTTGAGGAGGGAGTGCAGCAACACCTCTTTAAATGGTTCTGGGAACACTTTCTCTCTCAAGAATGAATTAACTGTCACTAGGGCCCACTCACATTTCATCTTTCAGGTGAACTTGACCAAGGTCACTCATGCAATCCCAAAGAACATGTTCACTTCCTCAGGGCCCACAAGATCAAACCATTCCAAAGTAGTTGGGTAAGAGAGTTCCCCAAGGTTCTCCAATGGATCTACCCCATGTTTGGTCTTCATCTGAGAATGGATGTGAGCAATTTTATCCCACAGGTGTGTTGAAAATGCCTCAGCATGAGTGGTGGTGTTCTACCAGTTCAGCCCGGTTTGTGTGAACCGGTAGTAAAAAAAATGCTACTGTTCTGATGATCACTTGGGCTGGGATTCCCCTCTCTGTCTTACTGCTTCACCCAGGAGGCTTCTCTGAGGCCCAGGAGGTAAAAAGAGGCATGCGGAGGGGTGCTGCACCACCAACACCCGTGCTCTTTTTTTTGCCTCCTGGCCTCAGGGAACCTCCTTGAAGCAAAAACAGGCTCCCAGGAGGCTTTTCTGAGGCCCAGGAGGCAAAAAAGCAGAGCAATGGGAGGGGTGGTGGTGAAAAAAAGCCACATCCGCCCAGTCACATGCCCATGCCCACCTAGCCACTCCCACCTAACCACGTCCACAGAACCGGTAGTGAAAGTATTTGCATCCCACCCCTGCTCAGCATGGCCCTGAAGAGGAACTTCAGAGTCCCTTTACCAAAAAAAGGTATGGAGTAGCCCTAAACAGAGCTGTCAGGCAGCACTCTGCATATGCAATAAGAGCAGAGAAATATTTACCATGGCTGTGCTCACTTCAGATTTTATTCCACAAGGGGGAGAATTTGGAAAGCATCAAAGTACAGGTAGTCCTTGACTTACAACAGTTCATTTAGTGACTGTTCAAAGTTACAATAACACTGAAAAGGTGAGTTATGACCATTTTTCACACTCGTGACCTTTGACCTTCCCCGTGATCATGTGACCAAAATTCAGATGCTTGGCAACTGGTTAATACTTATGACTGTTGCTGTGTCCCAAGGTCATGTGGCCATCTTAGGCAACTTTTTAGTAAGCAAAATCAATGGGGAAGCCAGGTGCTTAACAACCATGTTACTAACTTATCAGCTGCAGTGATTCATGTAAGAACTGTTGCAAGAATAGTCATAAAATGGGCAAAACTCATTTAACAAATGTCTCACTTAACAACGGAAATTTTGGGTTCAATTGTGGTCGTAAGTCAAGGACTATCTGTACACTCCCAGCCTCGATTTACAACCCTAAAGTAACCAAGACTTTAGAAAAGAAAAGTCCTGGCTATTTTTCCCAAAACAGCATGGTTGCCTTCTGTTATGAAATCTGAAGATTCCTCAACTGAGCAGCGATTGGATTCTGTGCTCCAAATCAGGACATCAGTGCCCTTCAACTGACTGGCAGATTCCGGGAATTGACATTCACACATTTGAAAATTGTCAAGTTTGAAAAACACTGCCTAAATGGTGCTTTCCAAACCTATTCGATTATTGTATTTCCCAGAAAATTTGACACTCTCCTCCAGTTGTTTCAAAGCCAAAAAATAATTGTTTACCACTGCAATCGCAAATACTATTTTTATTGTTTGGTTGCACCCCAGATGAGACGAGATTTTCATTCCCAAGCACATGCTGACTAAATTCAGAATTAATTGCAATAAAGCATTTCATAAAAAAACTTTGCAGTTGTGGTATTTGGGATCTTTTCTTTGTGGGAAAGCCTGCAATTGATCATGCAGGCATAAGGAAAAAATAACAAGCCAATTTCTCAGTCCTGCAACTCATTTTGTACCTTATGGTTGTGGTTTATTTTGTAACTCCTTTGTTATTTTTTTCCTTTTATTCGGGTTCTTTTTCTTTTTCTTTTTGTTCAATTCCTTTATTATTTTTCTTTGTATTCAATTCCCTTGTTATTTCATTTTATTTGATTGCTATTGCTATAATTGAGGTATTGCCTTTTAATTTTAGTGTCATCTGCAGAGATTGCTGCGTCAAAGTAAGTTATTTTCTTTTTCATTAATTCTTTTTCTTTTATTGACTAATAAGACATTGTGTAAATTTAACCCATATTTATAAAATTTTGTTTAGGAGCCATCAAGCAATTAATACATAAGACATTTATCAAATTGCTTGATGGTACTTTGTATCTGATTGATGTTGCATTGTCTTATTTAATAACATGCAGCTTCATTTTTTATTTAATATTAACAGTGAATGCCTTTTTAATTTGTTTCACTAACTGATTTAAAGGATCGATGGACTAATTATCCCAATATAGTATTTTTCTCTAGATGTCTATGCCAGTCAGACCTTGTGTACGCCTTCCACTTCACTTCTTTAAAATGATACACCTGGGCAAAGAAGATGATCAGGGCCTGCACAACCAAAAAACTGCACAGCTTGAAGTAGAACAGTGGGATTCATCAAGGTGAGAGTTTACCATGAAACTAAATTAATAATGCAGACATTCTCTTCTCTGTCTGGCCAATTCCCCCATCTTACTAGTCCATAATAAACTTGTATTGATAAGAAGATGCTTATATGCTGAGAAAATAGCTTCCACATTCCATGACTCATAAATGAGAAAATTATGGTACTGGTTAATTTTTTATCTCTATAGTAGATAATATTATTTATTATCTATTATTTATTATCTATTTATCTATTAATTTCTAATAGAAACTAAACTACTGTGCCAGCCGCCCTGTTACATTGCAATCTTCCTGCCTTGACTTGATGGAGGCCATCTCAGGGTTCCCAGTGGAATTCCCCAGGCTTCTTGTCCTGGAGAACCTTTATTTGCCATCCCAGGTCTTGACCTTCACACTTAAAATGGCCTTCTGTGCAAGAACATAGCACAGAACCTTATAAAAGAATCACATACTTCGAGACCATTATGAAGTATGCATCCATGTTTCTCTTGTAACAGAAATTCTATCTGGTAGCATGAAAAAGTACTATTGTGCATACTTAAAGATCCAATGGAATATTTTAAATATGATTTTATATTATCTTAAACCAGGGCCTGTGTTTGTTGAATAAGCCATAATGGCCTGGTTTAGACATTATGCTATGCTATAAACTATGGCCATATAGCATCTCCGAAAGCGTCCAGAGACTCTCCAAAAGTTGACATCAAATAGTAATTTTAACGAGGCAGGAAAAAGAAATGTGATGTTTGCCCACTATCACTTATTTGTTTGCTTCTACTTTTTTGCATGTCCTAAAAAATTGAAGGTTTTGTGCTCTACCATAAACCCTACTTTTCAGCTATAGTGGATGAGTTCACAAATTGTGCTAAGTCTAAGCCAAACAAACTTATTATTTAGTGTGATATGTGAAGACTTTTAGTTCATATCATGTTGCAAATTAAACTGCAAAGTAAAAAATTATTTAGCTTTGTTCTTGTTTTCCAAATTAGATTTTCCATTTCTAAAATTAAACATTTAAACATATATAATAATGATTTGGAAGAAATGTTTTGGACATCCTGTAAGCATGCAGTACTTCTCTCTTTTTTCAGACATGTGTGGAAGCTCTGCCTATTTGAATGAAGAGAAGAAAGTTAGCCTGCACTCACACATTTCTTCAAAAACATTTTTAAGTGTATACCCTTACTAGGTGTTCAAAACATATAAAGGTATGAAAGAGGCATATTTGAAAATAATCTGAATTCTTCTCATGACTTCCAGAATACCTCTTGTGTTTGAACCCCATTGCTTAACACCACCCTTTGCCTGCCGCATAAAAAGTATGAGGGATTGGCCTTCTATGGACATCTGTATCAAATGTGAGCAATACCTTCTGGAGATGCTGTCCCATCATTCTCCTTGCAGAAAAAGACGCCTGTCATGGACTGAATTGGAATAATGTTTTTTACTGCTGTATAAAATTAAACAAATGTAAACCAGTGATCTTACAGACTTAAATGAATTGATCCTTATTATTTTTTTCCCCTCTCTTCTCACCCATCGGGACAAATTCTATTTAACCTGGTCTGGAAAACTATACTTATAAAAAAAAATAAAAACTTCATATACATCTTTGATCTTCTTATATATAATCAATAAATACTTTCAAAAGCCGTGCTTTAAGTCTTTTGTCACAATTTAAATCTATATATTTAATGTTAAACCTTGCAACTGTACACTTAAACTAAGGAACTTTCATCAAGAAAGGATATAGAAGATTATAAGGTAGTTAAATGTACAATGTCTCTTCGCCTTTCCTCATTTGTTTGGCTAAGAGCCTCCAAAATTAAGTAAACTTGTTTTATCTGAATGTATTGATTGACTTTAAATATGTTACTGTTAAGTTGCTCTGATGGACTGCAATATACCGGTAGATGTTAAGAAATTGGAGCATCTTGTCTGAAATGTAAAAGTTGAAAGATTTAGATAAAGGCATAGTCTTTATGGGTATCTGAGAATTTATAAGTCCTAACCTGGTCTATATGGCAAATATTGCCCATACAGGCCATAATGCTAAGCCAATATTTGTTAAGCTTCTTAAGACTAAACTATTAAATGGTGGGATTTATATATCAAGGCAAAAGCAAGCTAACCACATTAGGCTTAGCGTAATGTGTAAAGCAGGCTTTGTATTAGAGATATGACATAACTCTGGAACAGTTTTTTTCCAAATCAGTGATTTAAAGTGTTTGTCTCCAACTTCTGTTGGTTATTGTATCGTTTCTTTATCCTTTCTTCAAACTATTCAGAAACTAAGAAAAAAATCTCTAGAAAGAAAGAATGAAAATCTAAATTTTCAGTCAAGTTGTTAGAATAGCCTTTCTAAATTTTTGTCTTTCAGATATCTTGGATTTCAATTCCTGGCAGGTTCAGCCACCATGAAGTTTGCACTTGGCTTCCTATATGTCACTTTAAACAAAACCTTAGAAAATACAAAAGATCTTAGATTATACATTTCCACCCACTCCTGAACTCCAGCAATTAAATGGTATATTGCCTCAAAATATGAACATGTTATATGGTAAATTAGTACATGTTATCAGTTTTCTAGACAATGTTTTCTAATTTATTTGTAATCCCATAGTCTGAATTTAACATAGTAAAAATATTCGTTAATGAATTCAGGGTTTTGACATTTTTTGTCATGTCCCAATACAACAGGTGTAAAGTTGTTCTCTAGAACTAACATAGACATTACAGCTGTGGTTCTTGATTTAGAATAAGAAAGGCAATTCTCCACAAATTGCTGAACTATAATTTCTAGCAACCACAGCAGGGTGGCTAAGAGGAAGGAAGGCTGAAACTCAGATTCAGCAGATATCTGGAGGGGCAGAGGCTTCAGTCTTCCTTTTGAGAAAAAAATTCTTAGACAACCTAAGCACTCTCAGTTTGGTGATTAGACATGGGGAAAATATCTAGCATAGTTTATTCTTCTGACAGGTTAAGAATCACCACTCCAAGATTTAACCATGGTGTACTGAGAGAACGAATTAACCTTATTTAACATGCTATTTTCAGTCAAGTTGATACTAAGCTAGTTTCATGACCCTGTTTTCAGAAATGCTTGATGTGAAATTCTCCACGAGAGGGCAGCAAAACCTGACATTTTTATTTCTGCTATTTAGGGCCTTGTGGTCTCTTATGCTGTTCAGCATCCAACATATATTAATCTAGACCTCTTGGTTAGATGGCTGCTAGAATTTTTTGGTAGACAGCAAATTGGAAGACAATGATGTTGATCCATTTGTGCCCATCAAGGTAGATGTTTAAAATAGGCTTTTGATATTTCTATTTCAAAAGGAATGTAGTATTGAAATTATCAGTAAATACTATTGTATATTGCATATATTGAATTAAAATATAATGAACAATAGGCAGTCTTTTGAACTTTTGAAGCTCAGTCTTCTGAGATTAAATCCCATGATACATTTCTACATAAGTCTTATATCAAAGGAAAAGGTTTACCAAGAAAAACATTTGATAAAATTATACTATACTTCACTCAATATTTTTATTTCCAAAGAACATGTGGAGTTATTCTTTGATTAATAATCTGCCTGCTGTTTGTGCATGGGCCATTCCACATATCTATGAACACAGCATGCTTTGGCCTGATCTGTATTAATGAAAATATTTGTTTAATTACCGCCTCAATCCAAAGGACTTCTCACAGCATACAGTAAAAATAATCCGCAAACAACAAGTAAGCAAAAAGGAACACCAACACAACAGTAACATCTGATACAAAACTAATATAAATGTTCTGGACCTATCGGCCAGGGCCAAAGGCTCTCTGAAATAAAATACATTTAATTAATTTTGGGAATATATTTTTCAGGGGGAGTATTCCACAGGATGAGGATTATACAAACATACCATCTACCTTGCAAGGATTTCAAACATTTTCAACAGGTCCTTTCTAGATGACCAGAGAAACAATCTACTCTATTAAGTCATTTACTAATAAAAATGGGTGCTTCGTTATGCTTTGAAGATAATAACCAGCAATTTGAATTCAGCCAGGAAACTACTAAGGTAGCAACTTTAATATAGACGTAATTGTACATTAGAAGCATTTTGCAGTCTCACAACAGCATTTGTATCAGCTGCAGCATTTGGATTATCTTCAAAGGCAACACAGCCAGAAAACTTTGCTAGTCCAAATGAGTGGTAAGTAGGATATGAATTATTGGCACCCTGAATCTGAAGCAAAGCCTTTTAGTCTTTATGAAACTTTTTCAGTGACAAACCTCAGTTAAATAGTAGGGTTGTGTAAAGCACTGAAAATGAGCACTTAGCCAAGCACACTGGTGTGAACAAAATGCAACATCTTGGACCCTTAAAGCATCTGCATCCTGCAAAAGTTTTCCCTGTTTTCTCCTTGTTGGGTATACACAAGTGACTTACATCTGCTTAGCATGATAGGTATAAATGGAAAAGTTACTTAATTTAAATAGAAATATAATGTATTTCTCTTGAAGGAGACTGTTTTCATCACAGAACACTCACAAGTCAGTCTTTCCTGTTTAGCATTCCTTTTAGAATGCTAAAACACCCAAAATGAGTTTATTTTATTATTTCCATTGGATTACTTTTTAAATAAAGGACTGAAAAGTAGGACACTTTTAAACAGTCAACAAATTACATTTTCTCTGTAGAAAAATACTCTTGCAGTTGGAACACTATTGGAATACAATAATTTTCCCCAGTCTAGGAATATGTTTTTTGGGGAATTCTGGGTTATGAAAAATGGGTAGCAGAGGTAAATCCTTGACTTACAACAGTTCATTTAGTGACAGTTCAAAATTGCAACAGCAGTAAAAAAAAAGTGACATGATCAGTTTTTGCATTTATGGCCATTGTAGCAATCCCATGGCTGTGTGATCAAAATTCAGATGCTTGGCAATTGATTCATATTTATGATGGTTGCAGTGTCCTGGGGTCATGTTATCCCCTTTTGCAACCTTCTGACAAGCAAAGTCAATGGGGAAGCCAGATTCACTTAACAACCATGGCATCAGTGGTGGTATTCTACCGGTTCTGCCCAGTCCTGGAGTGCCGGTAGCGGCAATGAGCAGTGGAGACAGAACCGGTTCTCTCTGCTGCTCTGTGTTTGGCCCACCTACCCACCCGGGCTCCCATACTCACTTTTATGGCCAGAATTCAAAGCGCAGCTCTTTTGCGTGGCGCAGAATAGCGCCGAGCGGCAGCTGCTGCAGTGACCGGCATCATGCAGGCTTTCAGGAGGCAAGTTAGAACGCCTCTGTGCCTGCACAAATGCCTCTGCGCCTGCACAAAGTGCGCATTTGGCGTGTGCATGCACGCAAAGTGTGTGCATGCACGCAAAGCGTGCCCACCAAGCCACGCCCACCGAACCGGTGGCAACTTTATTTGAATACCACCACTGCATGGCACTAATTTAAAAAAATTACAGTGGTTCACTTAACAACTGTGGCAAGAAAGGTCATAAAATGGGGCAAACTGACTTAACTGTTTCACTTAGCAACAGAAATTTTGGGCTAAATTGTGGTTGTAAGTTGAGGATTACTTGCACTAGATAGAGACGTCTGGAATAAGAACTTTCTCTGGTGTTTCTCCAAGCTGTAATAAAAAAATTTGCACATGTTTGCTGTGTAAATGGATTGGCAAACATTCTTAAAATTCATGATTACTTGGAAGAATCATTCTATATCTGTTTTGATATAGTTGGTGGCTGAAATTTTTTGTAAAAATATACTCCAATAGCTTTTTCAAATGGAGGATACAGAACATATAGAAGGAAGCAATACATTCCATAAGCTCACTATTGCATGCAGTTGCATTTTCTTATTATTTCTTGATTGCTGCATTTTATTTATCAGCCTTTAAATATTAGTGCCATGGGAAAATAAATGGGTTAAATCTACTTTATTGTTAAATTGTGTGTGTTCCACAACTCTTCCTTTTAGGTTCTGTGTAATTTTAAAATGCTAAAAGTTACTGTATGCAAAGTAATATGAGGCAGAAAGAAAAATTTTCAATTATCAATGTGTCACAACATTTTGTTACAGAAATTTCTATTCCATTGCTTTTCTAGAAATATCAATAGCACAAAGCTTTGAAAAAGAGCTTTGAGAAACACATTCTAGCTTGATTTCAGTACTGCTCATAACCACTTAGCTCATAAGCTCTCACACTGAGTTCTTTTGTTGTCTGGAGTTTTTATGAGACCGTATCTGTCAAACTAATCTAGGGAGATAAATCAAAGCCCACAGTCATGTCTGTTAAAGGCACTGTGAGGGATTTAGTCGCTTTATCATTTATTGTGACTAGTTATAAAGAAAGTGTGATGATATGGAATGGAAAGTAAGGATGGCAAAAGCATTGTCTTCCTTAAAATAGGGATTATTGTTTTTAGTA